AATAAATTTTTATTTATTATATTTATTCAATTTGCATTATTTTTCACATCACAAATCAAAATTTAATCATTATAAAATACATTATAAATTCATTAAAACTTTCAAAAATTTATTATATATTATAAAACATATAATCAAAATCAACAAATTTTATAATATCTTTACTACATTTATGAAAAATGCTAATAAAAAATTAAATTTCTTTTAACTTGTTTAGCCCTTTTTAATACATCATCATTTTCTCTTGTATAATTTGATATATCATCATTCTCATATTCTATATTATCGTCAAAAGTAACTTCTTAAATATCCATATTAATTTCTAAGAAATTATGTAAAATTATTGCACATGATATAAATAAAACTCCCACTTTAACTGTTTTAACATCAAGATTTCTTAATATTCCAAATTTTACTTTTCTACTACAACTCGATGAGAAGAATGAAAACGATTAAAATCTTTTTGTTTTTGAGAATTTGGATCTTTAAAAGGTGAAATTAAAAAAGGGGAAATAGGATATGCAGAATCACCTAAAAGATAATCATTCCCTTGAATAAGATTAGAATAATCTTTATAAAAAGAAGAATTTCTAAAAACCCAAGCATCATGTATTAAAACAGGTCAACCTATATCAAAATTAGTAAAAATTCCTCTATTATTTACAATACCTTGACAATAAATAGTATAACGTTTTTTTGAGTAAAGTAAACCTCTGGATCTTTGTTTGGAGCATTTTTCATAAGAATATGTGTTCCATCAACTGCTCCAATTACATTTTTTAATCCTCCTAAATTTTTAAACCCATTATGAACTTTTTTACGCTCTTCTAAAGTAGACCACTTAACAAAAGTTTTTTTTTGTGTCATAATTGCTTGAATAACTCATTTAGTATAAAGAATTACTGTTCCTTCTCCTATTTCAAATCGTGAACAAACTTCAAACAAACTTCCAGTAGAACTAAGTCGACAAAGAAATACAGCCAACTGAAGTTCAAGACAAATTTGAGGTTTATTTCCTTGAGACAAAAATATAGGATGTGGGCGTATAAGGTCAGCTAATTGTTGAAAATGATGTGGAAATATTCGCAAAAGTTTTTTGAAATGAGTGAGATCATAAAGTGGAAGGGTATTTTGCTATCAGTCTTTTGATTTTGTTACATGATATATCCAGGGTTTAAAATATCGTGTGTTTAACCTTTGTATTAAAACAGTTTGTAAAATTATATTGTCTTCTTCTTCACTTGAAGAAGCTTCGTCATCTTCAAATTCAGCTTCTAAAAGCTGTAACTATAACGCATTACGTGTTCATTTTTTACGATTCATATTAAAAGCCAATAAAATGAAATAACTGATCAATCCAATCAAAAAATTATGCTCAATTATAACTACAATTTTATTGGTTATTGATTTTACCGATCTGAATGATCTGATCTAGAAATGAATAGGGCTATAGATAATAGATTATCTTTTTTTCGTTTAATGTTAACGTTAATATTTATCGAAAGTTTAATTTTGAATATGTAAATTTTCCTTTTTTAACCTTTTTAATATGTAAAACCTAAAATCGCGTTAAATAGCTTTGCTTGTTCTTCTTGTTCTCCTTGTTCTTATTATTTTCAACTTATCAAATATTTGATTTATAAATAAAGTCAACACTTTTTGAAGTACATTTTCAATAATTTCTTTAGTTTTTTTTATTCAAAATGGTAAAAAAGAAGGGAACTATTTGGAACTATTAGACAATTATTATACAAAGTTTAATAGAAAATAATGAGATTAAATCAAGTTTACATCCTTCTGTAAAATGTAATTATTGTTCTAAAGTTTTTAATAGAGCTGTTTCTTTAAGAATGCAAGCTCATCTTAATGAGTATTTAAATGCATCAAGTAATGCTAAATTACAAAAACCATTTCAATACAAAATCCTATACCCTCAAATATCACAGAACATCCTTTAACTAATACAAATACACCTCTTATTGAAAAAAAT